CTCTGGGTCCTCGTGCCCGCCCGTGGCTGCGGGGGGCGGGAAGAGGGCGCCATTTTGGGCCATTGGGCGGGAGCGGGGTGACGCCGGGCCGCCGCCCGGGTGCACCGAGCGGCGCCTGCCCCACGCGCGGGCCGTGGGGCTGCTGGGAACACGCGGATAGGGAAAGTCCCACGAGGGATAACTCATTTTTAAGCCTGGAGAGGCGAATTATGTGTCAGTTGGTTAATTTTTGAGAAAGGCAGGAATAAATCTTCCCTCGTGCCTTGGGACGCGCTTTGGAAGATGTGTGTGGAGCCGAGCCCGAGGACGGGCAGGGCTGCGTCACAGCGGCGGTGGGTTTGTCGTTCATTTTTTAAAGCCATTTAGAAGGCACGACATCCTTGGGGCTGTATGGAAGACGGAGTCCCTTTTCTGAAAAGTTAAAAAAGGGCACTGCTGTAGTTTTTTCAAATTTCTGGCAAGTTCAACCTGAAGTTTGGTTTCGACCAAGCCCCGTCTTCTGGAAGTGTGTAGCACCATCAGAGTTTTCTCTAGCCCCATGTAGATTTTATACCCATCTGCTAATGAGAGCTTCCCTTTTGGACTGTGAAGAACATGTTTATTTTGCTATTGAAGACCAATAAATAAGGGGTTAGGCAGTATTTATGTAACATAGGTAAGAAAGGAATGTGTAAACACTGTGTAGATAGCCTCTGATTTCTGATGTGTAATTCTATTTCTCGGGGTCAAAATTTGGCCTTTAATTCATTGTGTATTGCAATGTTCTTGCTTTGTTTCATTTTTCTTATTAGGGACATTTCACCAAAAAATGGTACTGAGGTGTTTTTCTCACGAGAAACTTATGAAAAATACTCACTGGCTCCAAGCTTCTCTGAGCTATGGACTTTGTCAAACAGGTATCTGCTATTACATTATACTTTTATGCTGTTGGTTGTCATCCTTTTGATGCAGTCTCTTACTTGTTTTGGGTTTGGTTTCCTTTCAGTTTATGGAGGGAAAATCGCACGTTATCCAGTGCATGGAGATTGGTTACTGACCTGGTGGCCTGCCGGTCAGTCTGCGTCTCCCCGTTCCTTCATGAGACCACAGGAGACCTTGGGTTGGGGCCTCTGGTCTTCTGTGTCTTTTGAGTAGGGGTTGGATTTTGGGGTGGATCTCTGTCTCTGGCTGTCTCTCTCTCTTCTTTTCTTTCTTTCTTTTTTTTAAACTTTTTGCATACCAAAGAGAGAAAAAGTTTGACAAACGCTCTTGGCTAGCCACGTTAATGATTCTGTAACCCATGAACGAGACCCAACTCTTGTTGGAAATCCGTGTCTTGCTGTCTGTCTCTGTCTTACCTGGCCTTGTAGAAGGCTGCCAATACTGTCTGCATCAAAATCCTTTTTACTCATACCCTTGGGAAGTAGCTGACGCTATTTATATAGACCCAACCTGTGTTAGCTACAGTGGAGACATGATTAATTCCCTTACTGGTGAGTAAACGATATAAGTCACTACCTGAAGAGTGGGCAATGAAATGCTGTAGACAAAAATGATTTTAGTATAGTTAGTATTGGTGGCACGCTTTTGGTATCTTACTTTCTTAATGTCTGGAATATAGAATCAACATGTGTTTGGCATAGTAAGAAGGTATAGTTCAGAAAGTGGAATATTGTTTTTAGGCCGTTCCTTTTTTTAAGAAGTCGTTAAGCTAGTAGAGAGGTACAGCTAGCGAGCTGCTTCTGGTGGACCAGCAATCACGGGATTGAAGAATGGGGATGGAGACCAAGCTAGCAACTGTATCTTAAGTGGAGGAGTGTATGCAGAAATAATTTGCTGCAAAGGGGAATTACTCTGTTTTTCTGAACTAACACTGAGAATGTGATTTTTTAGGGAGGACAGTTGTCCAAATCACATGACTCTGCCAATCCCACGTCTTTAGCTGGAGAAAAGGATTAAAGTCATTTTCCTGGCTCGTTTCTCTGAGTAACTTTCCTTGAAGAGGCGGAGACCCACAATCTGCACAGATTGTTACGGGCACACTGGCTGTTCCTGTGGGATTCTTCCTTTAGATATGTAAAACAGAGGGTTTCTAGACTGCGTAACTGCAGTGAGGAGTGCGGTTGTGTTTAGTCGCATATGACAAAAGCGAATTCATAGTCAGAGGTGGGGTTGCAATGAGAATAAGTTACAAAATGCTGGAATTGGGTTGACTGGCCATAGTCAGAGGAAGAGAAATGGAACCTGTTGGGGCAAATATGAAAGTAAAAGCTGCAGGAAGTTTGTCAATTTGTATATTGGGATTTCTGAAAAATATTTACTAAAGTGAATGTTGTCTCAGCATAGAAGCTGTGAAGGCAGGTTGCTGATGAAATGAAGGAGAAAAATTTAAGCCGTCAGCTCAGATAAAGGATGATGCTGTAAATATGGGCAGAAAAGCTCTGTCAGATTATTTTGGTTTGCACCCTGATGAAGGTTGTGACAGCACTGCATACTGGAATGATCTTGATGTGCTGCCATTTCATTCCGTGCTGAATATAGCCAATTTAAGCTGCTAGAATTTCTTGACGTTCCTACATTGGCATATCTGAGTCAGCATCTTGTCGCTGCTGCAGCTTAATTAAATTTGCCAGTTTGTGCCACAAGGATGGACACATTCTCATATTCAGAGAGACAGCTGTGAAGTATTGTTAAGAACTGTGAACGTGATACTGTTGGGTTTGAATAACACTTGAGATGTTTTCTGCTGCTGAAATCGCATCTTAAAAATGTTTTTTTTCCAAAATCAGCAGTTAATGGTCATTTTGTTAACCTTAAATATTTTCCCTTTTAAGACCAGTTGTTTTATATAGAGAAAGGCTAGGCTGGCTTTCACATGCTGGAGTTATTTTAAGAATCAGATTATAATGTGACTTCTTTGTTGTTGTTAGGGCTGCTACCTGCCCCTGCCTTAGCCCAGCATTAGTTCAGGAACTGGTTTTGGCATTGTTTAGGATTGAAAATGGAACTCTGAGTTGTGTACTCTCTTCTTAGGAAAAATCTTCACGAAAATCTGAACTTATATTGTAACGATTGAGTAATTTTAATTTACTACTTTTACAGTGAAAGAAAGGCTTTCTAGTTAAGGGGTTATTATTTACTATCATAACTTTGTTTGGAAAGTTAGACCTTTCTAAGTACAAATTGCTTCTGAATCCAAACCCTCTATGGTCAATAAGGAGGGTGTTTCCAAAGCAAAGAATTTGAGTTTCATGTTTGGCTTGTCACCTCAATACTCAGTGCGCAGACTATTACATGCGCTTATATGCGCTACTCTGTTTAACAAAAAAAAAAAGTCTTCTAATGAAGTTCGGTAGTAGTCCTCCCCCTGACACACACACACCCCCTTGAAATCAGTGGCAAACCTGCTGTTGGCACTAAGGTTTAGCATCATTGTTTAGATAAAGTTTCAGAATATGAAAATTCCGACGATATAGGGTTAGGGTTGGAAAAATACTACCCCCCTTACAGTGCGTTTTGCTGGATTTGAAGTTGAAGCGCTTGCATGAGCGCCGTTATTAATTCTGACAACTATTCATCCTTATGTGAAAAGTGTAAGTTCTTCTCGTTTATTACTTTTCTTTCAGACAGGCAAAGAAAAGCGTAAAGGTGTTGGCAAACACTTCAGAAGACAAGCAGACTTGTAACGTGCAGGCTGCAGATCCAGTTGAGGTGAAGGCTAAAACTGCAAGTGATGATCAACCTTTTCCAGAACCTAGACTCCCCTATCCGTTTACCTCTTGTCTGAGTGGGAAGGAGCAAAAGACATATTTATATCTGATGACTAAATACTCTAGAAAACCAAACCATTTCCAAGTTAATGCAGCAAGTCAAAGAGAGCTATTCACATATATGGTAAGAGTTATGTGTGCATGTATATGCACACAAACATCACAGAAAAGAATTACTTTGTTGTTGTTGTTGCAAAGAGTAATGGAAACAGCAAAAATTGTTTAAAAAATCAGTTTGTCTTGTTTTCCTTTTGACCTATATTCTTATGAATGATCATAAATGTTTAAAATATTCAGGATAGTATTTTTAATATAGATGGAAGGTGTGTTTCGTTATTTAAAAGTGTATGTGTGTATTTTTGTTTGTTTGTTTTAGCAGTAGTATTCTGAACAGATAGCTTAGAGTAACTGTAGCTCTTTAACGGCTAATTGAAAAAAAGAATTTTTAAATTTACACTTAGCTAATAATATGATTGTAGTCTTTCGTAATGACATAATGGCATGCAGCGCTCTTTCATTACGTTAGAAGATGAATAAACGTGGATGTGATCTTTGACAGCATCCTGTAATGGGAACTTTCTTCATTAGCATGTGAGGAGACGTGCGTGTTGACCTTCTATGCCTGCCGCATCAGCGCTTGTTGGAGTAGAAAGGCACAAGCTCACACTTGCTGCTTAGTCTTAGCAAAATTGTTTAAATAGTGAAAGACTGTGTTTCGTGGTGGTTGGCTGTATCGTTTTAGCTGACTCCTGTATATGGTAATTAATTAGCAAATGTTTTTGAGCCACTGCATCAGGTGTCCCATGCTTCCTCGCTAATGTTAATTCATTTCTTTCATGCTGTAACAGTGAGAATACCTTTCCAAGGCAAATGAGTATCTATTGCATTGTTGTTACTAACAGTGTGATTGCTTATGAAATCAGAGCTCAGTCTTTGTCACTCTGTCATGTAAACCTACTCCAGCAACGTCTTGTGATGTTTTTTTTTTGTTTAAACCACCAATGCATAATCAGAAGAAACTTTTTTTTTTTTAAGGAAGTAAGCCTAATCTTGCGAATTCTTTGAATTCAGTGAAACTCTGAACACACTGAAAGATTTGCCAGATTGAGCAGCAAGCGAGATTTGTGCCCTTCCTCATATGATTTCCTGTATTATTACTCTGGAAATTTTGCTGTTTACCTACCTAGTCTAGGGGATGCCAAGTAAAACTGCGTCTTTAAAAAAAAGAGATTCTTTTTCCCAGCAAATGAAAGAATCGGTAAACAATGAAATTGCAGAATTTATGAAATTTGCTCAAAATGCCGCAAAAAGCTGCGCCCAGGACTATGATACCCTCTCTGAAGACGCACGACTTTATACTGAGGTAAATGTCAACACTGTGTTTAATTCCTTCTGTTTTTAAACAATCATATTGAAATACTGATAAAGATACACATATGCTGCTCGTGGGAGCTGATGTTCCCAGAACTTTTGCTGATTCTGTCTTGGATGAGATGTGAGAAGTGGCCTTACCCCACATGCTGTCCAGCGTGACTTGCCTCACAGTTTAGCTGTAGCTAATAAGACGTGATATAAGTGAGGTCATTGAATGCAATACTGTGCAAAGGTTTAGTTAGCCATCAGTAAAGGATATGACAGCGTTGTTTACATTTGGCAAGGAAGAAATTATATTTTAAGCATGAATGTACATTGGCAAGCTGCTGGGCCATGTTTTGGGGAAGAATGCTAAGCTTTCCTCTAAACTAACATGTTATGAAGTCACTTTTGTCAAAGGTTAATCAGGTCTTAATCAGAGTAATCCGTGAGTTCGTGCTCTCTTAAATATCCAGTTTGATGATTCCAAAATCAATGGTGAACAAAACTTGATATGTCTTGTTGTCGTTCTTGGATTAACATATAATGGAAAAAGAGTTCCAGAATACAGGTTCATTAAACTTTTGCGTCACTGCGTTGACTTTCTGTTGCTTATGTGAAGCAAGGTGAAGACAACCTTTTCTTAATTCTAGGTCTTCTCACTTAAAATGGTACATCTTGAACAGTCAGTTAAAAAAATAAATGCCATCTGCCGTGTCTTACTCATAAGACCAAGAATATGAATGGCTGGAGCTGTGTTTCTGTTGTATTCCAAGTTTCTTTAAGTAGAAGAGAGCTTAGTAAAACAGTTTTAGATGTATGTTTTAGCTCAAAGCTTCTATTAAATCAAAGAACAGAAATTGAAATATTTCAGTGTGGTATATAATTTGCGTAAATATTTTTTGATAGTGTCTTACCTGAACTGAAGTGGCCTAGTTAAATGCTTTTTGCTAAAATTTCAGTCCTCCAGTGTCACATTACTTTCTGTTTTACAGAGTAGAGCAGAAAAATAATTGCATGTATTAGAGAGCAGGGGTTTTAGTTAAAATCAGAGGATTGCTTTTATTTCACCATAACATTTTATTATATGCTTTTTAAAGCACTAAATACATTTGCTTTCCCATTAACACAGTTTGACCCAAATGTTGTTATGTTATCACACATGATGACAAGAATCCTGCTTTTTTTGTATTAAAAAATAAATAAAATAAAAAAAGGGGGAATTGGCTTCATTATTTCATATCTTACACTGTTTTTCTGTTTTTGTAAGGCAGTGATCTTATCTTCTGGTTAGAAAATGTGTCTCCAATATTTAAGTCGTCTTTATAGTTAAGTTCCTGAATTACATCTAAGTGTGTCCTTCCGTTTCAGTTTTAAACGGTAATTGCAGAAACAATTCATGATAGCTGCTAAAGAGAAATGAAATAGTTGAATGCACAGTTCAGATACCAGTAAAATTTAGCTCAAGATCTGGAGCTGACATGAGAGCAAACTTCAACAAATACAGAATCTTAATATGTCTTTACCTTTTACAACTTTTACCTGGACTAGTATACATCAAGTAGTACCACAAAAAATAGTAGTCCATATAAAGCCTGGCTAAGTACACAAACTGAAAAGGAAGTACTGAACCACTTCAGCACAATTCAGTTCAAACTGTACTGAACAGTCTCTTTATGATTGGTCTAAGCCTGTATTTATACATTGTAATCTTTGCATGTAAGGGGTTGAGGAGAATTTAGAATACGTTTCAGTGCTGTTACCAGTGATTATTATAGAGTCTTATGGCATTGGTATATCTTAAGTCTTTAATTTAAATTGTACCTGCAGTTTGAAAAGTTGAATACACATGTTATTAGCAGTAATCTGGGAAATAGATCAGTATTCTGTACTGAAAGTGTATGCAAACGTAACTATTGCAGTTGCAAAAAATTTTTTTTATTATTATGGAAAATAGCAATGCATAAACTGTTTTTTTTCTTTCTTTTTACATTAGAAGTTATTAAGTGCTTGTATTGGACATGTACAAAAGTATCCTGAATTTTACACGCTGCAGGAAATCATAAGTATCATGGGAGGAAAATTTAACACACAGTTGACCTTTAGACTGGAAAAAAATCTTCTTGTAATGGTAATATCTTACATAAAACTTTTGTTTTGGCATTATTTTCAAATAAGAATTACATATGGATTGCATTATGCCGAACTTTTTTTATTTTAAATGTGTGTTATTCAGTGCTTGGGTTAGGGGGTTACAATATGTGATGAAAAGTAAGTAAGCTTAGTTAAATTACTCTGGCAATAAGGCTGTAAATCTTGTACGTTATCTGTTTACAACAAAGATTTTTTTTTTTTTTTTAAAGTATAGCACCAACTTTATAATGTGTCTGCCTGGTTCTTTATATTTTTCATTATAAAAAACTGAACGTGGGGTCAGTATCACTTCAGTTGAAGGTGATTTCTGGTACTGCTGTATTTTGTTCAAGGGTACAGCAAGACGTGGTGAAACACAGTTCCCTGCTATGCCTGTTCAGTTACCTGTAGATTATAAAACTGTTGCATCTATTATAACTCCGGAAGAAAAGGCTTCTGTTATGCACAATGTGAGTAACCTTTTTTGTTGTCATTATTATGTCATGTATTGTAGATAAGAGGGGGTTTTTTTCTTTTTCGTGTGGCAATGCTAAGTTTTTTTGTATTGTTTTTATTAGATATGTCATGTATGACGATTGCACTGCCTTCTTCAAAAATTGGAATATCATTGAATTTTTGAGCCAGTGCCTCTAGATGGGACTTCCTCTGTTCTCTCAGTGAAGCGCTAACGGGGTCCTTAGGTTGGAACACACTGGCTATGAAATCTGGATAGAATGGTTTATCATAATATTGTTCCTTTTAAATTTTGCTTTAAAGCAGAGGCCAAAGCCTTTGCAGCTATACATATATATGCATGTCCATGTAAAAGTTTCTGTTTAAGAGAGAAGTCCTAATGATAGTGAGAAATGTTTTAGACTCCTTAGTTTAGCTTACTCTGGGATTTTTCTTGCTAAACAGTAGAGACTGTATTTCTGACTTGAATAATTTTTAGGTTCTGTTTCATGTTGTTGTTAAACATCCAGTGCTGTTGTCTGTGTTCTTCCACAGAGAAAATTGCATCAATTGGTTTTCTCATTCTGTAGAACTTGTTTTGTGTGACTGTTTATTCCAGATAGTTTGTTGTCTGCTTATTGAAGGAGTTTGTTTGTGTATCAGAAACTAACCTTTCAACAGAGAGGCTGTGACTGGAAAGGGGGTGGTTGCTTAAGAAAGTAGCAGAGGTGCAAGAGGAGAATGATGCATGACAAGAGGTGTTAAAGCTGTAAGCAAAGAATATTACTGATGTTGTCTGAGGTGGCAAATTAAAAAGCGTAGCTAGATTTTGTTTGTTCGTTTGTTTTCCTAATTTTCTGTCATGGTTGCAAGTGTTCCTGGGCTTCCGTTTTCTTCTTGGTCCTTGTTCTCCTCCTCCTACTTCGTGGGCATGCCCAACCTCTTCTGCTCGTGCAAGGCTGTACACCTCATTTTAAATACCCTTACAAATTCAGATTTGAAATTGTATTTTCCATATTTTTGTATTTGTTTTAAGATTCGTGATAGATAATCTATATTTAAAAGAACTGTTCAGTTTTAACCACACTTTTCCATGTTAGATCTCTTCTTAGTGTTAATTACTTAACCTATAAGTAACTCTGTAATATGTGTGAGTGGATCTCCTTCCCCCACTCTCGCTGTAATGCAGTCCCATATTCCTCTATTCTCCATATTCCTGTTGAGCCTGGTAATTCAAATCAGTAGGAATGAACTGAAAGATAAAACTATGTCTTCACATGCTGCAAGGCGGATGCAGACAAAAACCTTAAGGGGGATTTTTTGCCTTTTCCTTTGATTCTGAACCCTGGCACTATGATGGTATTTGGACATTTGTAGGTTTGGAGTTTTTTAATTCATGTTTTCTTTTATGAATGTAAATTTATATGTGGCAGGCTATAAGTGTCTTTTTCTTTTAAAAAAAAAAAAAAACTTTTAAAAAAACTAACTTTTTTTTCTGGTTTAGGATATTAGTTCAGATTCAAACGCAGAAAAACTTGCTTTGAAATACTGTCCTCAAGTTGTTTTAAGTAATCAATCATTATTTGCTTTACTGAATAATCACGGACTAAACTACAAGGAACAGTGGGAAATTCCAGTTTGTATTAAAATGATCCCTGTTGCAGGTATAGTATGCTTTTGTTTTACAAAAATTGTATTTTTGTCCATTAAGTCCTTTATGTATTCTCATAATCCCTTTCAGTCAACTGAAGAGCCCAAGTCAAACAGTAAAAACTGCTGAGAGAAGGTAGGGAGGTAATCTGGTTTAGTATGTGCAGCAGTAAAGTAGTTTAATTTTGGTTTTTATTTAGGGGGGAAAAAAGAAACTAAGCTAAATAAAAAATCATAGTTGCAATATAACTTCAGATTCTCATGCTTTTTGAAGAAGCAGCCCTCTAGAATGCAGCTATTGGAAAACAATTTATCTTAACTACTTCCATGTTTTTAATCTAAAAAATCCAATGAAGTAATACAAATTGCCTGATATAGTTCACACAACTTAAAGGACAAAAAACTGAAGTTATGTTTTTCAGCATTAGATAACAAAGTTCTCTGACTCTTTACCAGATTCAAGAAAAGTGTTTATTTTAATTGCAGTTATCCTAACAAATGAACTTTAAAGAACACATTACTGAGTTTGTGCTCTGTCTTCAATGAGGAAAGCTGATAGCAAAGTCACTTTATAGTTTTCTACGCGTTGCTCCATCTTGTTACTGAGGATAGTAGCAACCTCTAGAGGTATTGCCATTAGCATTGAGTTTAGACACGTAGCTGTTTTCTGTTATGGGGGTGGAGGGGAAGTCACTTTAATGCCCTTCTGCTTTTCAAAACTGTAAGCTCTATTCCTTGGAAAGAAAAAAATCATGTGAAGCTGTTAAAGCTATCAGATGAACTGATTTCAATAAGATGAAGAGAATAATTCTGGTTTTATAAAAAAAAAATAATAATAATTGATAAAGTAATGAAGTAGCAACAAATATCTGAAACTAAAGGACCAGTTTATGTCATAGAGTAGCAAATTCATATTGAAAGTTGGTGGAGGATGCTTCTCCCAATTGCAGCGAAAAATATTTTGAATAAACTGTTTAAGTCATCTAAATATTGTACTTTTGTCAAGCAGCCTGTCAGGAATCGGATTTCTTCTCCCATTTCCTTCCTTTCTTTTTCTTTCTTTCTTTCTTTCTTTCTTTCTTTTTTTTTTCCCCCCAATTGTAAGATTTGCAGATAGCAAACTACTGGATAGCAGTAAATAAGCTGGCAAATATCTGCAAACCTTACAAATTTTGCATTTTCCTGCATGAAACAGAATTAAGTTATCTGTAATGAGGAGCCTGACTCCTTTCATATCAACTTGGCAGTTTTTAAACTTAATTTGTAGATCCAAAGTTACAGTGTAAATGGCATCCAAAGTACATTAGCACTAGATGGTGTTTCTTACAGAGTTCATCTCCTACTTTTCAGCCTTTCCTGTAACCAACCTCTTGCATTAACTTCTTTTCTATCCCGGTTTTTTCTTTTCTTAATAAATATAAGATAGAATGTTCACAATGTGCCATTGATTTCTGTATAAGCTTGGCCAGGGCATCTCTCTTATTTCTAGATGAATTTATTAATGATTCATGTGTAAGCGTATGAAAGTGTAAACAGTAGACAATGGGACAGCAGAGCCTAAAGAAGAAATACAAACTGCAGCCATCTCTTTCAGGCAGTGAGACTTAAATAAACCAAACAAAACCCCCAAAACTCACTCATGGATCTGAGGTTCAATGCATGCAAAAGGAAGGAAGAAGAAAATATCTTTTTATTGGAAAACTGAATACATTTGATATGGTAATGAAATACAAGGAATGTTGAATCCTAAATTATTTTTTAAATTCCGTATTTAGAACTGCGTTTAAAATGTGGTTGTCTGTTAATCTGTTCTGTTTTGCTGCTGCAGAATCATAGTAATTCACACTATATCTAGACATTTTTATTTTCTATGGTTAATGACAGGATAGTTTTTCATCTCTTCTAGTGTAAGTGTGGAATGGATTTAAGTGTAACTGGAATTTGAAAGAGTGATTTATTATTTGAATTATATAATGACTTTGTTTCTCTTTCATATAGTATTAACTCTATCTCTTTCCATTCTTTAAAAGATAGCAAACCAGCTAAAGTGGTTTATGTTGACTCACCTCTCCTGAAGAAGGAAATGACAGTAAGAGAAAGGAACCAAATCTTCCATGAAATTCCAATGGACTTCCTAGCAACTAAAAAGTCTTATGTGTCGATTTCTGATGTATTGATGGACAAACCAGCTGAGGAGAGTAATTTTCAATGGGATGTATGTAACTTCACTTTTTTTTAAAAAAAAAAAAAAAAAAAGCTAGGTTTACAGTGCTTGAGCTACGTGTTCTGTGATAATAAATATTTAGGTTTCTCTCTGATCGCTTTTCTACTACTGAGTCACAGACCTCATTTCTTAAAACGTCTCTCTAGTTGCTTGAAATGCTTGTACAACTTCATCTCAGCCTTAATCTTTACTTAATTAAAATATATTTCAGCTAGTTTGTTTAGGTGGAAAAGGCTTTACAAACTCCATTTCTGTCTGAAAGACCTTTTAACTCCTAGGGTTTCAGATATTCTGCATTAAATGCAGTGTAGTTGCTTGGTTGGTTCGTTTGTTCATTTTTCCAATTACTTCCCCTGTCCCTCAACAGTCCAGATGTGGATAGCAGAACATTTCTTGCCTGCTTCAAATTTAAGTGTTCTATTTGCAGTTAATATGTTCTATTGCCCCTTCCCCTCTCTGCGTTAAGATACCTTCTGACACCTACCAGTGCAGGAAGATTCCTGTTCCAGATGACACAGGGATGGATTTTGATGATGATGTTACAGAACTAGAAACTTTTGGAGCAGCGGTCAAACTCTCAAAGACCTCTAAAGCAGAAAATACTTTTCCTAAAGTTGGTAACACTGGTCAAATTTTGTCACGTGAGCTAAAAACAGACAAAAAATTAACATCTGCCATAAACAATGGAGGTGAAGAGGGAAGAAACTCTGTTTCTCAGCAAGGATTTTCAGCCAGCGAAGTGCAGCTTCCATCATTTGGCAGTCTGTGCTCCAACCCCGAAGAAAATTCATCTCATAAAAGCTTTCATTCAGAGGAGGTAGAACTGAACAAAGCGCAGCACGTTGTGACAAAGGAAGTATCAGACAATGAAACAAAATTAAATACTTTATCTAACGCTGTTACTTTCAAGAAAGAGTCTGATGCTGCACAAAAAAATAAGAGTTGTGCTTCTTTGTGCAGTAGTGACACTGATGAAGATCGTTTGGTAATTGATACAGAATGTAAAAGTATTGATTATTGCAAAACAGCTGTACCAAATACTATTTCCAGTAGCTCAGCAGAGACTTCCGAATCACCTTCATCCATCCGCGTTGCATCAGCAAGCGTGACTGATTCCTCGGAGAGCATGGATCAGGGGAAAAATGCCTCCAGAAAGCCTACAAAAAGATTGTCCAAAGAATTTGATCCTGTTGGACAGATTCTGAAAATGCAAACTGAACTTCTCAGGTCACCTTCCCGAAAAGCTCATGAGCAGCCACTAGTGAGCCTTGATAGTTCTAACTCTGCACCAACCCACGTGCCTCAGTCTCCAAAATCATCGGTCACCTCCAGCACAGAAACTGCGCCAGGCCCTGCCTCAGATCCCAACAGCTCGTCCAGAAATACCTGGACGTGGCTTTTCCAGGGCCCTCCAAAGAGTAAGTAAGGTTGTTTATCATGTAAGGAGTGAAAATTTAAATTTTCCGTAAAATTTAAGAGAAAAATCATTTTAGTTCTCTCCCCTGGGAAATGTTCTAACAGTGCCTTTGCTATGTTTATTTAGAGATGTGACTTAGATTTTTTTTTATATATATAATATCTTTTCTGTGTGAGAAATACTGTTTTGCACGTGTAAGAGAGCACGTTTGTAGCTGTTTGTCCGCCGAGTTGTATGTGAAATGTTATCTTATTTTACTACAGAGAAATGAAAAGTTGTCATATACAAGGATTTTGAGCGAGGACAAGTACCTGTGGATGGGAAAAGGAGAGTCTGGGAGCTCTAGATATTATGTACTGTACTTTTCAGTCCGTTACAGTGAATATGTTATGCATATTTCAAAAAAATTACTGAAATAGGTACATTTACCATGCTACTCAATAGCTAGTGCCTGAGACAAGTGAGAATCAGTCTGTCAGTGTTCTGTTTAAAGCGAAATAGCTCTGATGCTGAAGTGAGTTACTTTTCCTCAGAAATTCCAACTTTTTAATAGTCTGGTCTGTGAGGAAGTCTGCAAAAATAGTCCTATTTTTGAATGTCGAGAAACTATTTACATTTTCTGTAGAAGGAAAAATTAATCAAATCATGCAGTTAAAATTTTTAAGAAGTCTTTATGTATGCGTGGCTAAGTTTGGAGGCTCCCGCTTCAGTCACCGTTCCTTAGCCCCCAGCAGTCGGCTCCGGGAGGCTGAGGAGGACTCTGCAGGTCGCCTCTCCAAGTTGCCTAGCGTTTAGCTGGAAGTTGAACCTGCGCTGTACCCAGATCTCCACCCGGAACCAGAAGCTTTGAGCATGCTAGGGGTCGTGAAGCGCGCGGGTTTTCCCACGTGCCTGCGTCGCTTCTGAGCTGTGCGCAGCTGAACGTGCAAACCCTGTGTCGGTCCGTTCAGGTAACCTGACGGGAAACCAGGCAGGCTGCGTCAGCACAGACGCTCTTTTCTCCGACTTTGAATTCAAGTGAATCGCTGTTTTCTGGTGGAAATTCACTGACCAGCTGGCCATTCGGTCGCGTAGGAATTGATCTCTCTGTAACGGAAATAATTGGAGGTTGAAGTTTGGGGTTTTGGGTTTTTCTGACTTAAGAAAAAGATGACCATTCTATAGGTTTTTAAACACCACATCGTTTTTATCTCTAGGTCTAGTGTAAGCCTTGGCTGCATCCCTGCTCTGGTGTGAGAACTGGTTAGGGACGTGGGAGAGCAGCTCGGGTGTCGGGGCAGTGAGCAGCCGCTGGGCGCTCCGGAGGAGCAGGAGTGGGGCCGCGGGGGTCTGTGAAGCGTTCCTGCCTCCCGGGAAGGACACAACCCTATCTTTCTGTTTGCTTTTCTGCTGATGGCTTTTAGGAGCATAGAACCAGTACGCCTGTCTGATGGGGTTGTTACGTGTGCTTAGGTCATCAGAAACCGGAAGGAACAGAACGATCCTTTAAATGAGTTTATTCGTGTTGTGCTGGCTGTGGTAAAGGAGAAGAATAGGGCTGTTAAGCAGAGATGGAAATGTAGAAGATAGCTGTAAAAACGTCCTTCGATACAACTTACTCTGTTGCAGCTGAAGCTATCTTATCTTTACCTACCTTTATATTGAATTAATTGAATTTTAAGTCATTAAAATATACTTATCTCCTCCTCCCTCTCAATTTGAGGGATTGAGATGTGATATTCTCCTCCTTTTAGAAAGCCAGAGTATGGAATCAGGTGTAGGACAATTGATAATTGCATTTTTTCAATAGAGGTAGTGAAACCAATATTACTAAGAAGCTAAAGTGTGACTGTGTGAAAGAATAGTAGGCATAACAGAGTGTAACAGTTCAACAGAGTGTAAGTTGTACAGCAAGTTGATTTTAAAAAAAAAAAAAAAAGCATATCTTTTGGCAGAAAGCCAGAATTAAGTTAAACATTTTACTAATAGAAAACTGTTGCCAGTCACTTGGATGATAATCTCTCATACAAGGTGTGTATATATATATTTATTCAAAGATGTTCATAAGCCCTGAAATTTCATTTTTAAAATATTTTTGATCTTATTCATTGCACTACAGCAGTATCTATTTGTAGTTGTAATTCTGGCACACATTTCCACATACCTGCTGGACAAAAAAAAGAGTAAGATAAATTATCAATATAAAATATTAAATAGTTGCTGTGTATTCATTATGGGTTTTTTGATGTTTCGTTAAAGTATGTTTGAAGGATGCAGGGATGTTTACCCACCTGAAAGTTGCATTTTGAGATCTAGAGTTAAGAGTTTCTTTTGAATATACTAGTATTGAAACTGAAGCTGAAGCAAATTCAGCTTGGAACGCAGGGTTGGACTGTTTAAGTAACTATTAAATGGATGGCAGCTCTCAGGAGGCGTTTGCTGTAAATAGAATTTGTTTTCTTTGTGCCGAGCGCATAGCCTTACTGTGACTTAAACTTCAGCCTTTGAACTCTGTTTGTACAGGAATGGAGTACCACGGCTCCATTTGCTTAAGAAATATAATGATTAAGATAAAATACGTGAGGATACTTAATAGTATGCTCTTATGGTGGACACTTTCCATTTTAATTTATTTTGAAATAACATTAACAAGTGACCTCTTGTAGGATAGGATTTCCCTCCCCCCCCCCCCCCCCCCCCAAACCTTTCTGAAACAAATTTTTTTTTTAAGAAATCCTGTCTACTTCAAGGCAAAAAGAGAAACTATTTAGTTTTACGGTGAAGGCTACAAACTTTTCATTTTCTCTTTTATGTATTTTCTATAGGAAAGCTGCCAAATGAACTTGAGATGCTTGTTGAAGACCCTTCAGAGTATACAGCACCTCAGGATGGCAACCTTGTATATAAACTATTCAGTTTGGATGACCTGTTGTTACTTGTACGTTGCAATGTGCAAAAAGTAAAGACAAGGCCACGATCCCATAAAAAGAAAACAGTCCCAAAGGTACAGATCTTGCTGTCAGTCTTTATTTATCTATCAATTTATTCTTTTATTTATTTTTAACTAGCGTTCTCAACGGGAACTTGTTCCTTTAACAAACTGTCATTATTTAAGATGTACTGAGTATCTCTAGAATTAAAAAGGGGGCATAATGCATTTCCAGTCCTTCATACCATTTGCGTTATTCCTCAGATAATTAATATATTTGGTTTATAACTCTTCAGTATACACCTTCTTAAGTAAATATTTGCTGCAGGAAGGGAGACAAGAATAACTAACTTGTGATTTCTTTAAACCCACTTGGTTAGAACAGAGAAGCAAGTTTGATTCAGCTTTTCTTACTGTTACCGCATTACAATAACACACAATGGGTAATTATACTTGTGTAAACTAATACTAGTTTGAACTATTTTTAAAACTCATTGCAGTAATTAGGTTTGTGGCCTAAGACTTTGAGGTTCTTCATGACTGTAAATACTTCAAAGCACAACTGAACCTTGGTATCATACCTAGTTAAGCAGAGGGGCGTGGGATCGAGTGAACTGCGGAGGGTACGTTCCAAAGAGAACAGCAGGTCCCCTTCGCTCTGCTCTGAGAGGCTTTGTGGAATATATCTTAGCAAGTTGTTTGTCTTAAGGAATGAAAAGCTATTTTAAATGAAATCGAGATATTCCTCGTTACATCTGGAGAAGGAAAACTTATTTTGGAATCCTGAGTAATTCATTTATTTTGTCAGGAGTCCTCTGGATCATTTGACAAACTTGGTGTGGTATTTCCTTCCCCAAAAAATGTCAGAATTGTGGTAGGAGTACATATGCTTTGTGAGGTGTTTCTACTTTAATAAAGTAGAAAAATATCTTTATATCTCTTTGATTGTTTGCTAAGATTCCCTGCTCAGAACATTATTTTGAACAAATATCATCACTTTAATACTAATCCATTACTTATAAATGCCTGTGAATAGCTACTCAGTTGGTTTCATAAATCACATTTCTATGTTGCTTTTGAATGTTGCTAATTTATTTGATGTCTTTCTCAGCACTGATGGGGGAGGTGGTGTTAACACCTCTATTTGTTCAGAGGACAACTCCAGTGGTGTTAATTGCAAGATTTTAATATTTGCATACCACTTCAAACTCTTAAAGCGCCTTGCAAAAGTAAAACAGTAACTGTTCTTTTTTACTCGCAGGAGAACAGCTTTTCTAGCAAAGACTAAGATGTAGCTTAAAAAGAAAATGAGGAAGGATGAGGACCTGTAGAGGAAGGATAGAAATCTTCCTGTTTGCATTTTGTGATCCTCACTGGCCTGTGCTTTTATGGACAGTCAGAAACTGAGTGCTGATTTTTTTTTTTTTTTTTAAAGTACCTGCTGAAAGTTGAAATCTAAGCTTTCACTGAGAAGAGTCTTCAGTTCTTGAAAATTAGTGTTAACACACAAATGTTAGGTTCTGATTTCAAACGAGATTCCAAACAATGAGTTCCGACTGGAAATTCTGACGTAGGGCATAAATGACAGGATGACATTAAAGTAGTAAGTAACTCGAGAAAAATAATAATTACCATTTTTTCCTAAATTCCTGAAGAGGGCAGTAGAACACAGAAAAGTAAACTTCAAAATAATGTATTCGTATAATAAAATTTTAAAGCTAAAGTAATTTTTCCGTATGTAAAAGCTTGTTAAGGTCTTGAAAAGTACACACACACACACACACACACACACGTTTTTTTCTGTTTCATCTTCCCTTGTATAGAGTCTACATAGTCTTAATTTCATCTTACAGATTTCATATAAAAGGATCCTGTATTCATGATCTGTGAAAAGTCTTTGTTGCTTGAGCTGTGATGGAAGAGCATGATGATTATCAATGACAAAATGTAATTCAATTGTGGTTTTTGTTTTTGGATGCTGAGCGGTCATTTCACTTGCATTTTCACTTTTATAGCCTACTCCACTATTCCTGTTGCCAAAACTAGAATATCAAGCCTATTATGGTGTCGAAGCTCTTACAGAAAGTGAAGTATGTCGGTTGTGGACCGAGAGCATGTTGCATTCTGAATGCTCATTTTATATTGGTAAGCTTGTGTCAGATTTTGTTTAGGAAATATGTGTATATCTGGGTACCTATAGAAAAGCAGAAAAGACAAATACTTCATACAGATATGTTCCATAGGTCCTCTTTATTTCCTTTTAGTTTTCTAAACTTGTTTTTCACTTTTCTCTGAAGTTAGTACTGTGTCTGAAATTGCTTCTTGCGTGGTCAGTGAGGATATTTTGTGCTAAAGCATCCAGTGGTAGTTATTTTCAAGAACTGCATTTATTTCCTTTTCAAAGACAAATGTATCTATAAGCCTGAATTGAGTTCTTTGAAGTTAGCAATCTTTAGGACTTAAAATATCTTTGATTTTGATAGCTGTAATAGTCTTCAGGAGCTCTGAACACAGGATAATCTCAAATAACCACTCATTTTCCAGGTTCTCCAATTTCCATATCTAACTGATCTATGAAATATCATTTCCTAATATGTGATATGACTTGAAACATGCCTGTCAAAGAGTTTGCCCTGGTAGCCTTTGGCCTGTATCATGCAGCAGATGGAAACAAGAGAGAATGGAACAGAGGCTATGAATGGGAAGCAGTTTGCATTCAGTAAGAATGAAGTTAGGAAAATACAGATCTCGGGTGGAAGAGATGACAGCTGTAAATCAGAGCATAGAAAATAAAAAGCCAGTAAAGTAGGGATAAAAAGCATGGAAAATATTAGCAGAATGGTATCTATTGTAAATACTGTTTTGTGCAGAAACAAAACACAAACCAAACGTGCTAGGGATGCTGCGTTGGATGGAGAATTCCACTAACAAATTTCCCGTAAAAAAATTGCTGTATGAATGTTTGTACAGTAACTTTTATTAAAAGTCAAGAACTACAAAAGCTTAAATCCATGAGCACGCATATATTCTGTTTACATAGCAAAGAAATAAAAATCATACATACAAAGAGTGTGGCCGGAATAGTCTAAGAGACTTTTTTAAAGACCTGTTTGATTCCAGTAATCTGGCGATTAACAAGACTTTAAAAGCCAAAATTTGCAGCAGTTAAAGTGGTTAATCAAAACACATTTAAAAATATATTTGGCACTTGGCACAGAGTGAGGGCAGTCCTGTTTGTACAGCAGATGAAAGTTCTGCAGTTGGGGCTCTCTCACTTTCCTGTTGTAGAAAGATTTGTCTTGTTTTTATGGTTGTTATGGCAGCAACTGTGGCCTGTGATTGCCCAACCTTTCCTATTATATACTGAGTTACCGTTTTTACTCTTCAAAGTATTTTCTCTTGTTTCTTAGCAGCTCACATCAAAACAGTTTTAGAAATGCTGAGTTATTTCTATTCTAATTTTTATGTGCAGAGTTTGCCTGTCTTAAAAATACAAGGTTGATGTGAAATCTGATACACTTGAAATGCTAGTTTTGTTGATTGCATCTGCCTTTGTCTACTGTGCAAATGTAAAGCATGAAAGCATAAAAGTAACTTCCATTAAAAGTAAAATTTGCTGTTCCCCCTCCCTCCAAAAAATCTTCACACGAATAAAATAACTATACACTCAGTTCTGCAACTGTGTATTAGTATATAGTGAAACTGTAGAGAGAGGGCAAATCTGCTTATAAAGTAACAAACTAAAACAGTGCACTTCTATTTAACCTTCCATCAGCAGCAGGATACTCAACATATGATTTGAGTGCCGAAACTTGAGGACAGCTCATCCAGCCAACACCCTTTTTATAGAGGCGCTCAGGAGTATAGGAGAAAACAGATTGTGGTGGCAGGAGTTCCTCCGGCATTAACGGTCACCACTGTCACCCCCTTCCGGCACAGAGGTTCCCCCATCTCCCGGAGTGCGTGGATACATCCTAGGCCCTGAAACGGGTGTAGAGCCCCAGGTGGGCAGGCTTCTCTGAGCTGCCCTCCGCTTGGCTCTCTTGTTCTTGTGCTGTGCTCAGGAGAAAACGTCCGCGAGATGAAGAAATTCAGGTTGTTCCAGTGACGGTTGTCAGCTCTTGGGCGTGCTTTTTCCTGCAGCCAACCCTGAGGTGCATAAGGGTTTTCCTTTGCGTGCTCATGGGAAGCACGGGATTACTGTACGCTCTCGCTGTCCTGCGCAGTGAATTGGCGCTCCCAGCGTGCGGGGCGGGGGGCCGCCTCCTAGCACTGCTATAAAACGTCTGTTACAGGTATGGAGTAGGATTCTCGGCATGTAACCAGCCTTTGATAGTGTTTGTTTAGGTAGGCAAATTGGGGAACTGGTGTTTTTTTTGGTACCGCTGTTTGGTTTCTAGTAGTTAAAAACAGATGCATTTGCATAAATGTCCTTTCACAAAATTGATCATTTATCACAGTCTTTTATGGGAAAATATTGTACTTCAGGATTCTTTCTGCTAACCTTGAAAAATATTAGAAGGTAGCTGTGAAATTCTGCCTTTCAGTTTGTTCTGGGAAGCTTTGAAAAGTATGATGTTGTAAGTGCCTGTTTAGTTAGACAGCACCTTACAACAGAGAGCTCTTTCCTGAAATGCAACTGACCGCTCCCGAGCGGTGAGAATGTCTGTCTGTGCCATGGACAACTTGAAATGGGGTGAATGTTTCAGTCTTTAGTTTGTGCTTTTCCATTCATTATTCTGATACCTGAAAGTAAAAAGGCCACTGCCATCATGCTTTTGGTGTAAGCAGAAAGACAGATTTGAGGTAGTCATCCTCCTAGAGCATGCTATAATTTGAATTATTTGAAGTGAAATATTATGTCCTGTAATAAATATCTAAATCAATAGGAGTGGAGCAGTAGACTTACTTAAATTTACCCCATAGCATGAGTGTGAAGGTAGGGAACAACCATTTCAAAATTGTAATAACGCAGCACCTTGGCCACTTGCACTGTTCGGGTTGTTCTGAGACTATATGGGTCTTAAGGCACCTTTTTAAATTGAAGTTTTGAGAGCGTAGTAAACGTCACTGTTAAATTGCTTAGTAGTTCTTTGAACTTGAAAGAACTTCAATTCATGAGTATAACGCTCTCTTGCATTGCCAAGTGAGGGTGGGCGGAACGTTCTTTGGACCTTGCTCAGGGCCCTGTAATTGTCCCGTGGTGTTGGGCGCTGCGCAGATGTGTGCAGCCGAGGGCAGAATCTCCGAGCTCAGCCCAGTGACTCAGCAGTGCTGCTGGCTCCTGCGATGAGAAAGAAAACGGATATGTAACTGTGGCCTCCTTCATAAATTGCCAAGCTTGCTGTTATGGTGGATTTGTGATTTTGTCAAAGAATGAACTGACAGTGCGCCCAAAAGCAGAGGTGTTATCATGAAACAAACTTGAGAGTACTCTCCTTCTGTTGCTAGTAAAGCATATTGCGCAGTTGCTGTTTTGAGGCCCCTTACTGCTCAAGTAAGAAATCCTGCACCTGCAAGGAAGTAAACTCTGTGACGTGTTTCCAAAAGAAGACAATTGTACTTGCTTTAAGTAGTAAATAAAGTTGTGATATGCTTTGCTGATTTAGAATGTGAACGTATTAACCCAACCATTATTTCTTTATTTGCATTAAGTGCCTGAGTGAAACATACTGCAAAAAAAATAGTTTACTTTCACCCGAGTAGGATAATATTGACTTTTAAATAAAGAGGATTTGAAAACTAGTTGGACAGAATTACTTCCTGTATGCATAACGTACTGACTGTCACATGTTTTCCATCAGTCACTTGATTAATGTAAGATACAGTAATGCAAATTAGATTTGAATAGTTCATAGATTTTTCGCACTATGCTGTCCCTGAGTTTAGAAATGGAGAAGACTGTTGTTTGAGAAGAGGCTGACAGGGAATGGAGAGCATAAACGTGTTTTTTGGGGGGTTGGTGTGTTGGGTGGTTTTTTGTTTTTTGTTTTTTGGTTTTTTTTTCTTTTACAGTAACCAAGTTTTTTCCTATGGGCAGCAGTGCAGAACATTAAACCCAGCCACTTAGTCTTGTACAAAAGTAACAAATGTACAGTGCCTAAAAGAAACCAGTCATCCTGATGAATAAAGCAACGACACGTTTTATTTTCAGTTATTGTGCAGCACTTGCAAATACTTGCAAATGTACTAACAGCTTAGTACATTGTACTAAGCTGCAAATGAGCAAAATTTTATTTATTTTAATTACGTTAAGTCTACAAATATTAAATAATGCTCTTAGTATTTGTTCTCTTTCGTTTTGTAATGTATTAATTGAATATTTTTATCAGGACGTATTGATGCTTTTACATCAAAGCTGATTATGCTAGAAAAGATTTCTCCAGAAATTTTAAGAGAAAAACTTGGACTAATTAAGTGAGTATTTCTCAATAGCTTTTTAACAATGAATTTGAGACCATAGTAAGCCTTGCAAGTTACTACTGTTGTAATATTCATAATTTTTTTTTTCTATTTACAGGCCTGCAAATTCATTAAATATACTTCATCACATCTTGAAAAAAGTGTCTGCGTAAGTGCTCCATTGTTGTTCGTTGTATCTATTTACAGCATTACCCAGGTGATCCTATTTCTTCTGTAGAATGGTTGTCTCCTCCAATTGTTGTTTCTTCAGGTACCCTAACAGTTTTGAAGATTCTCTCAGGTCTAGCATAGCATAATGCAGTAGCATATGAAAACGCACTTAGGGTTACAGGTTTTGAATAAAAGATGCAAAAGAAAAAAAACTTGTAGGCTGATATTTAAAACTTGTCCTCTTGTTTTTTGAAAGTGTTTTGCTTAGTCTGTAGCAATGATACTGACTTTTGTTTATATTTCCTTCTGCTTAGCTAAAGTTATTACAGCAGATGGTTTTTTTCCTATATAATGTTGCAGTCTTTCTCTTGCTGCTACCTTTTCTTTCTTTATTTAGCCGCTTTCAAGCTGCAAGTAGCCTTGTCATGTCACCTTGCATGTGTGTGATTTTTTTGTGAAGCAAGTTTCTTGCACTGTATGTGAAGCATGTTATTTTGCATTACATAAATTTTCTTTAGCTTTTTAATTTCTGTAGCTTATGATTTGTGACTGAGATTTTTGAGATGAGGAGTTGGTTGAAATTCATCCTTCTCAAAACCTGCTTAATCTTGTAGGGATTGATTAAAGCACTTCTGTCCTTTGTGTTGATATGCGTATGTGCATTATGCGTCCTAAGACATTGATTACGTAAAGAATTGTACATTTTACTGCATATGGGTAGTTTTCAGTGCTTAAACCTTTTGTTGAACTGGAGCGTAAGTAACTGATGATGACAAGCCATACATTGATAAATTAGCACATTGTAAATACATGCATTATAAATACATAAATTAGTATGTATTTATCAATACACGTCATGCATTTCTATCTGTAGTCTTTTTATGAAATGGGGACTGATATGTAAATACATAAAGATGTTTTCCATCTCATTAAGAAATTAATAACTGTCCTGCTTAAATGGTCAGATGAAACGAAACAAAACAATTTAAAGAGTATTTCTATTTTAGATCTTAAATTTTGATTTAGATCTCTTCAGTTTACAGGAGGGCTCTTATTTATTGACTCATGCTGCAGGAGATTCATCAGTTGCAATCTACAAGAGTTCTCTTGACAAGGTGACCAGAGCATCATATAACTTGCATGAGGCTCACTGTGATCTGCCTACTGTACCTGCCAGTCTGTCAGTCCCCTGGGTACCGCTAGATCCCAGCCTCCCTTTACCCTATCACTTGAGCCATGGAAGAGTCCCATGCACCTTTCCACCTGCACCCCAAGAGGCCATGTGGAAACAGAAGGTCAGTATTATGCTTGATGGAAAATCAGGTTCGTTGTTTTGAAATAACCTAGTTCAGTCCATTGGGTATAGCAACTGTATTTGCCTGATGCTTTTGAGGGTAAGAGAGACCCTTCAGAGTACTGGATCCACTGCAGGAGTAGGAAGGCCTTTTTCCTGAAAATCATTTCAAGTACGATTTCTCTCACCTAGACCTGAATGTGTACAGTATGGAAAACAACCTTTAAGCTTGTTATGCTGGACTCTGTTTATTATTAAGAGAGAGAAAAGGAGTATTTTATAGAGATTCATCCCCACATCAGGCCTCTTAAGTAGATTACATGACTCATGCTGTATTTCATTTTCTCTCTAATGACTACAGAAGGAGTCTAGATTATGAGCTCAGTGGGAGACAGGTAGAATTAGATAAGGTGAATCTTACTTTCACTGTTTATTCCGTGAGTAACTATGTTGAGCTCGTACTCCAGTTCTCTCTGGTACATGATATGTTTTCTGGAAATATACTTTTCCCTATTTGATGGCAAAATTCTTTCAAAATGGAGTTTTGCGTCTTTAATTAGTGTGGACTAATAATACTTTTGGACAGTAAAAGAGTGTGGCGAATGGGTTTATTAAAAGCTATTTAATTTATAGGTTTGCAGTACAGCTACACAAAGATATACTTGCATTTACAAGGATTTTCCCCTAGTTAAGTCTCTATAATAGTGCTTTTTGTTCTTTTTCCTCAAACAGTTTCAGGAAGGACCTTTTAGCCTGACTTCCTGTTTATCAGTCCCAACTTCTCCTTCTTTTCCCTCTTTCTTACCCTCAAATCTCAGAATCATGAACTTGGGCTATTTCAGCCAAAACTGACATGTCTTGGAGGCCTCCCTCAAAGATGATAAAATCTAAATAGTTTTATGAAAATAAGTAGCTAGGTAGCGGAAAGGGCGCTCCTCTGAGAAGAGCTGCAGCAAGCACTGGGCGCTAGTGCTTTTATCAGAGAACCCAGGCAGGGGAGAGGTGGTGAGCACATCGGCCACAAGAAAAGTGTTGTGAGAGCTTTTGCATTATTAGGTGTGGGATGATCGTGTAACAAGATAGAAAGCCAGAAGAAAATATTGTTTAATGCAAATTGGTACCTGACTTCACCACATAGCAGAGTATCTTGGATCTGGCCTTGTTTGTAATTTTATGTAAAGCTCATTTAGGAATAACAGTGATTCTCTGCAACAAAAATAGGCTTTCCTTTTGGCCCTCTAAAGTATGTTAATTGCCATTAATCACCTGTCTCTGTGCTGAACTTTTTCGCCCCTGAGGAAACTTTCACTGCAATTCAGATGGCTTCCCTGACGCACAGAAAATTAAATTCTCATTGCTGTGCTGGTCCCTACACAGTAAAACAATCGTAACAGTTTAGAGGCAATACTGTTTCTAAAATAAGAGCAATATGTTACATTTTATCTGGAGGTATGAGGGTACTTCAGGAAAAGACAATTTTTGTGGCTCGAGCGTAAACATACAATTGTGTCCAGCCATCTTACTCCTTTTTCCTGAAAATGAACGCCCTTACACAGCATTGCGTATTCTGCATTTCTTCACAAGAGCAGTTTAATCTAAAAGTGGTGCATCATTTTCTTCAACCACCCTGACATCTGTTGGGAAGACAGCACAGCTAGGCACAAACAGTCAAAGAGGTTCCTGCAGAGCATTGATGATAATTTCTTGACCCAGGTGGTGGAGACGCCAACGAGGAGAGGTGCAATGCTAGACCTTGTACTAACGAACAAAGAAGGTCTAGTTGGAGATGTGAAGGTTGGGGGCAGCCTTGGCTGCAGTGACCATGAGATGGTGGAGTTCAGGATCCTGCGAGGAGGGAGCAGGGCAATGAGTAGGATTGCAACGCTGGACTTCAGGAGAGCTGAATTTTAAATGTTTGAACGTGAGCTTCATTCCAGACCTTATTAGGTTAAGTAAACATGCATATATCCTAAGTCACTAAGATCTGATTTTTTGTTGTTGAGTGTTTTTTTTGTTTGTTTTTAAACAGCATAGAATTTAGTATGAGAAGGAGAATTAATTGTCTGCATCTAAAGAAACTTTTGGTAGAGATTCTATAGAAAAAATTTTAGGATTCCCAACTTGCTTTGTAATTGAAGCTGGTCAATAAATGATGCATATCATGCTTTGAAAATTTCCCGAAGGTCACGCTCTTATCTCTAATGTTTTGAACAAGTAGTATGACATGTTTAAAGTAAGAGAATCTTCAAGCGTTGTTTTTTCCTCATTGTAGTTCTATTGATTTGTGTGAAAGTTGCATTCTAACTGCCTCACTTAGTGGACTATGAAATGCTTTTTGGGCGCGGTTGTATGTTTTGGCCACATTCCAACTTCATATAAGGGCACAGTTGAGGTATGCGTCAGTTCCTCCTTCCCTTATCCCGTTTGATTTCTGCCGGAAGGAAATCCAGGCATGTGGGCAAGAAAGAAGCAGGAGCGGTCAGATCCCCCGGGTGACGGGAAGACCAAGTGTGCCGGTCAGACAGTTCAGACACAGCCCCCGAGTCCGGCTTGATCGGGAAGAACTAGAAGGCAGTTTTCTGAAGGTAGTTGTGTATATTTATGCTTCATACAGATTTAAGATTTTTTTTTTTTAATTCTAGTTCTTTTTTGTTCTCTACCAATATGTGTCTAGATGACTGGGGCAAAAGCACACTCGGACACACCCAGCGAGGGAAAGCCAGCAGCTATGGAAACAAAAGGCAATCCAGCTCAGCCTGTTAGAAATGAAGGTGCGGCTGGAAAGAAACCCAAGAACAACTGCAAACAAAGAATGAAGATGAAAAAGTGGAAAATGAAATAAAAGAAACCTCTGGTGAAGTAGGAATAGCTAAACCATGCTGAGGTAAATATGGACGGAGAAGGACAAGACAAAGCAAAAAATCTGGGACTTTCTTGCGGCATCAAAGGAGCCAGAACAACCTGGCAGAGGAGAGAGCTGCACGACCATGTTTGGGAAGACTGAAACATTCTGCAAACCTTTAACCCTTTCTTACCTTAGTAGATACATTTCAAGTGCAAATCTCTAATGTAGCTGTAGGGGGGGAAAAAAGGCAAGTGTCTGCAGCTGAGGCTAGGGGACAATAGTACCTTCTGTAGGTCTCATATTTATAGGAAAATTGCAGTTTGAAGAATAAAGCAGTGGTTGACAGCTATAGCTGATATCGCTACAATAAGAAAAACACCTTTTGGGCTTTCTTAATTCTTCTCCAGGGTTATTACAGATTTGTGTTCTGATAGTGTTTTTTTTTTTTAATGACACTTTGCTTTATACGTAATGTGTGTAAGGTGAGCAACTTAGGTTTGATTAGTTAATCCTTTTAACATAGCGTTCTACCTTTTTTAAAGGAAGTCATATTACTTGCAGAAAGGTATTTATTTTTAGGATGATGTAGCAAATGAGGTTTGGGGAACCAAAGCTGTGCGTATTTGAAAAGTATGTGCCTTAAATTTTCACTAGGAAACTTAGGGATACAGCTAAGTATGAAACAGTATAAATGTTATTTTTATGCTTTCCAAAAACAGTTTCCAAAAGTTGTCTGGGTTCTGACATATCTTCAAAACTGAATATTGCAGATATTATTTAGTGTATTAATGAATGACTAGAGCCTAAATCTCATATCAGACTGCATAGCAGTAGTGCTTACTTAAAATATTAAGGTTTGCCTGAAGAAACAAATAATATTGTCGAGGCCTTAGTCAGCATTCCAAAAACCTGATTGACCTATGCTGTGCTTCAGCAGTTCACTTGAAATTTGGAGCCAAACTGACGGTGAAGTTAGGAAAAGAGAATACTTAGCTCCTGCCAAAGGCCAAGCAGCGTGATGGCATATTGCTTCCTTGTGAATAGCAGTTGTGTAGAAGAATTAAAAATTTTATGAATGTACTGACAGAGCATATCATAACCTGTAACACATTTGTAACTAACATGAATTGCTTGTTAGGGAAGAGTTCTGTGCATTACAGCTGCTTAACAGCGCATACTTTCAGTGTTTTGTTAGATAGTAAATTTCAACAGAAACAGTACTTGGAATTGAAGCTGCAAAATCACATTATTTATCCTTTTTTTTCTTTTGTGCTTTTTGGATTTCTGCCTGTAACTTCCTTCAAGAGTATTGTTTTTAAAAGAGCTCATATGTTCTTGAAAGTTTCAAGAATGACCCCAATAAATTCTTTCTCATTTTCCATTGTAAACCACACAACCATTTTTAAATGTCTGAACCAATTTTTGTTTGGATGATATTCTGATGAACTGTTCATATGCAGGCTTAAACTGCTAACGTGAAAAACAAGAGCCTTAACAAAGACTTTCTTTCGAGCCTTTTGTTTGGACTAAGTAAGTTATTAAGTGCACACATCTGATCAGAGTTCTACTCCTCTGGTCTTGACATGATATTTTTTAATATTATAGAAATATAAATAAAACGTATAACAGAGTAAACAAATATTTTATAAAATTCTGAAGACAAGTTCTTTAAGCAGGCTTAAACAACGAATGTACATTAAAAACTGTTCTCTGTAAAATATAAAACAGTTCCTGATCTTTTTTTCCACTGTTAGATCCATTTATAGTATTATTCACTCTGTTAATTTTTTAGCCTCTGCTTCTCTTAGTTGCAGTGCTGTGTTAACAATGAGCTGGATTAGCTTTGAGCTGTTTGTAAATTGTAAGTATTCCTGATGCAAAATCCTAAATCCATTTAGTGAGCTCCCAGAATAGGAATGTTTTAGCAGTGAGTCATTTCTGCCAGATAACTTTGTGGGGGTTCAAAGCAGAGTTTTCAGTGTATATGTACAAACTGTAGCCAGACGAATACGGAATTCAGTCTCTAGATGCAGTTTCACATATTGGAAATGTATGTACCCTTATGTCTAGCTGCCTAAAAGACTTATTTCTCTTTTAGCACTATACTAATGACATTAAAACTCTATTCTATTATTTATTTAGGATAGGGAATCTGGGGTTTGTGTACAATACATGAGATGGGTTTTTCATTTGTTGTTATGTTTTATTTGATTTGATCTCTTTTGGATTAACTAGGACTGTAATAATGTGCTCTAGGGTGGATTAGCTGTTTCAAAGCCTCTGGTTTTGTTCATATGTCATGGTTTTTTGACTCTATCATCAAGTTTGTGGAATATATGCTACTGAGAACTCTTTTTATTTTGTCGTGGCTATGCAGCATTTGCATTCAAGAAATTCATATAGAAATTGCTTTTTTTTTTTTTTTTTTTTTTTACAAGCCAGGTATGACGCAAGAAGCTTCCTAATACAAGAGAGGAAATTGCTGTTCTCCTTGACTTTGAAGACACCAAAATGGATCTTGGGGATGTTGCCCAAGAGGAGTGATTTGAAATATTAGCACAGGGCCATGTCGCTTGGTCACTGTTAGTTTTAACAGTAGTAGGGTTTGTGTCTTAGTCTGTTTGTGGATGCGTTCCAGATCTGCATGGATATGAAAAGTAAACAGTTTGCTCTTCATGTGGCATTAGAAGCAGAAGCAAAACTTGTCCTTTAAGGTAGGAGCTTGATACAGCATTATGACAGTATGCCCTTGATAATCTTGCTGCATATTCCCTTTCCCCAAAAGATTGGCTTGCTTTTCAGCATCCTGTAATTGGTGAAATAAAAATGGAGGTTTATGAGCATCATAGAGTAAAATCTAATGTGAGTTTGTTACTTTGCCTAAAAAGCAGCTTTGTGATTCAATGTCATGTCTATATTGAAAATCAAATTATATTATTATTTTCTCTAGTGGCAGTATCAGCAAAATTCCACTCAGTGAAATGATTCTGAGGCAGAACATGTTCTTAAATGCTGATGGCCCCTCATCCATCAGCTTGAGGCAACTGTTGAACCAAAGCGTGCTCCATCTGTGTTTGCATCTAAGAGGAGCTTAGTAAGAGGGGAAGGGAGGAGGAGTAACGTGTTTGTATCGACCAGTGTTTGAACTTTGAAACAGCCTTATTCTGAGTTCATAAATTCATAATCCTGCTATAAGTATTGTACAATAGGGGTCTCTGAAATAGTACTGCTGTTCTAGTTTTAGATTTTTTTTCTAGTTTTAGAATTTTGCAAAAATTATTAGAACTAGCCCAAGAAAGGTGCCAGTTGTGATTACTGAACATCTGTATATATTTCTGGTTTCAAATGTAGGTTTTCGTTTCATTAATTCAGACCAGTCTGTTTGGAGAAATGGCAAAACAAAGTAGTTGGTAGAAAGATTTCAGTAAAACCAGTTCCTGAGTCACCAGCTCTCTACAGGTTGTTTCCGCAGTGACAGTTATCTGGAGGAAGGAATGCAGAAAAGCCTGATTCTTTTAAGATGCCACCAAAATATAAATTCCCAGATGATAAATCTGTGCAAAGCCAGGAACCACAGCTGAAGAAGAATAAGCATGCCTGGATCCTGCTTCCCAGATAACTGTTGCTCTACAGCTGATACTACTGTTCTTTGTGGCCTCAATCCATTGAAACTGGGAAGAAGTTTTCACCGTTCCCACGATCCTGTTCTGTAATTTCAGTCTTTAGCTTTGTGTTTGGGATGGATTGTGTGGATTCATGTTGCTATTTATATGGCTTGTTTGTATTTAAATGTAATCGCTGCTGCTTGTCAATCTATATTTTAAGAATATCCTCTACATAAGTATTTGGACTGTGTGGTTAGATATTACTTTTCCAGTCTAAGAACCTTTCCAAGTATATATTTTCCTCATTTGTGTGTGTGTGTGTTGGTTTTTTTTTTTTAATTCTTTGTGCAGATTTATCTGAACGAGAAGGGGGACATGCATGCTGTGCTGTCTCTGAGTTGGAAGTTCTACCTGCTGCAGAATTGGTCAAACTGATTTCAAAAGATCACTGTGTGCAGTTAGCTGTTAAGAGTTTCAGAGCAGATGTTTGTAGTCCGGTATTGATGTAAGGGAAATAGAACAACTGTTGCAATCAGGGTATCTAATAAAGTGAAGAACAGTGGTGTGCTTCCACCCTAGCACCTTTCTTAAATGCTGTGACTACTGGATTGTGTAGATGTTTAAAATCCTATATGTACAGCTTGGCTTCATAGAGTAGTTTCAAAAATGTCATTTGATTTGCAGTCTTTTCAGGAACTCTCAAAGCTCTGTACATCTCATTTTGGACAAAGAGGAATTTGTCCTTGCTGAAGTATAAGGAAACAAAAAAAATGTCTACATTGTTATCAAGCTTATTGCTTGAAATAGAGCAGTAAATGAGCTATTTGTCCTTTGATTATTTTGGGAAGGGTCCTGTGATTAGTTAAAAGCTACAGGTCTTGTTGTCTTTTATGTGGTATCGTTGTACAGAATTGCAGAAAAGTCTGGTTTGGAAGGGATCTCTGGAGATGGTGTGGTCTGACTTTCTGTTGAAAGCAGGACCTTACATTAGGTTATTCAGGGCCTTGTCAAGCCAAGTCCTGAATATTTCCAGCAGCCTATTCCAATCTTTAATTGTTCTCATGCTGAAGATTTTTTTTTTTTTTTTTTGCTTATATCCGGAAAGAATTTCCCCGGAAACAACTTGTGCTCGTTGCCTCCTGCCTATCGCTGTGCATCCTTGTGAAGGGAGGACATCTGTTTTCTCTATTCCTGTCTCTCTGGGGAATTGGAAGCCTCCCTTCCCTGATCTCTTCTCTAGGCTGAGCAAACCCAATTACTTTGACCTTCCATTTTCAAGTCTCTAACCCTCAATCATTTTGGTCATCCTCAGCTGGACCCTCTTTAGCTTTCACACCTCTTTTGAACTGAGGGAACCAAAACTAGACACAGTATTCCAGGTGTTGCCCAAATAGTACCAAGCAGAGTGGAATAATCCCATCTCTGATCTGTTGGCTCTTCCTGTTGGTGCAGGCCAGGGCATGGTTTGCCTTCATTGCTGCAAGGGTGCACTGCTGGCTCGTGTTCGGCTTGGTGCCCCCAAGCACCCCAAGTCCTTTTCAGCAGAGCTACGCCCCAGCCTGTGCTGCTGCTTGGGATTATTTCGTTCCAGGTGCAGGACTTTGTTAAATCTCATGCAATTCTTGTTGGCCAAATTTTGCAGCCTGACAAGCTCTCTCTGAATAGTGTCTCTTCCTTCTGCTCTATCTACCTCTGCTCCTAGTTTGATGTCATTTGCGAACTTGGAGAAGGTTGATTAATCCTGTTACCCAGATAATTTATGAAGGTACTGAATAGTACTGGACCCAGTATGAGCCCCTGAGGAACTCCACTTGTGGCTAGCTGCTAGTTGAACTCTGAACCGTTAACTGTATCATTTAAAAATGGAAGAAACCCGCTGAGAACACAAGGCTTTCCGTGCTATATGAGATTACTGATATTAAATCTAGTTCCTTTATTCACTGGTGTGTGTTAGGGAATACTTACTTGATGTTTAAGATTATTGACTGACGTAAGGAACTGATAGTTTCTTGCTTTTGGATTTATCTTCGCATGAATAACTGCAGTGGAGTATTGGTTGTGAAATCAAACTTCCTCTCTTTATTTCTGCCATAATAAGTGGCTTTCAAACGTTGTTTGTGCTAAGTGTTAATGGATCACTTATGAACAGCTTTCATTCCTACATGTGACTGGCTAGGCTTCTTCACCTTCTCTTTTTCACTGCAAAACATTCTAGGGGTACAACAAACATTGTTTATGTTTAAAAAAAAAAAAGTTAGGAAAATATTTATAATGTTTTTTCCCCACTGTCTTGTAATGTAGCCTAGCAGCTGGAAGTACAGAGGAACTGGTACCATGTGACCAAACGTCTACTTCTGTGTTGGCACGTGGGAGTTACCATCCAACAGCAAGGGACTCAAATCAACCCAGTGCAGTGAAGTTTAATAGCAAACGTTGAACCATTTGAAGAGGTACTTCCTTTGCTGCTTATTTGCTTTGTCCTGTATTTTAAATAGCAGCTTATCTCCAAAAGAAAACAGAGATCAGTTCAGACATGGTCTTTCAGACTATTTAATGCTGGTATCCACTTAAGTTGCCTTTAGTTCTACTAGTGGAATAAATTAGAGCATTTTTTTAATCTCTCGCCCTATCTAAGCCTGACCGGATATATAACTTTCTCAAATAATTAAAACTTTTGCCTTATAATTAACTATAACTATGCATAACTAAGCTCCCTCCTTCTTAAACTAAGTGCAGCCTTTCCTAAAAGGAAGGGCACAGTCCTTACTGAAAGTGCTACCATTGCTTCGTATGCCTTCAAATTTTCTATGCTAAAAGCATGTTTTCTCTTTTTTTAGTTGCTGTTAAAGTATATTTAGTTTGTTAGCAAGTTTGAATTCCATTTCTCTAGGCCAAAAATATTAGATAAAAATGTTTTCAAATATGCATTGCTATATTATATATCCCAGCTTGAATTTCCTTTTCAATGTTACAGAACATGTTTGGGTGGCCAGGTGACAATCTAGCCAGAGAGCTTTTCAATTATACCCTGTCCAGTCTGCAGGTGAAGGATAGTCATTGAGGAAAAGCTGATCACAGCCATTCTGAGTCTTATGGGGGTCCTCTGTAGATAATCTCAAGGCTGCTCTAACTTGCAACTAAGTCTTCAAGGCAAAATTGTCCCCATAAGACTGAAAAGACACCATTGCCCCATACCTTGCAGTATTTTTTTTTTTCCCTTACAAAACTGCAACAATAAGTTACTGATTTCTAAGTGGTTTGTAGAATAATTTAGTAATAAATACTGAACAGTATTAATCTTAGCGTAGACTGCAGGGAGTTCATCAGTATTGATACTTATCTCTTCTGTGGAGTAGTACGCTTACCCAGTGAGCAAAAAGGACACGAAAGCTCCATTGTTCCTCAAGGCATCATGGTCGTTTTGTATGAAGTGTAACAGTAAAGGTAATTCAAAGAAAATTTAACCTTCCTTTTTATTGTTCATGATGAAAAGATGTCAATAAATATTCAAAGTGTGATTTTTCTTTTTTTTAAATCCAAAATTAGAGGAGGAGAAAAAAGGGGAAATAATGTCATTAATAAAAGAAAGGTGGGGCTATTACTCTAGCAGCATATTCCCTGATTCCTTAAACAAAATGTAGCAGCCGCACCATTCTGTTTATTCACAGCATATTTTCAGAGGTGCATGTTCCTTATTTACGACTGTCCTAATAGAGTGTGACTGTTTGTTTAATTTTTCCATTGGGCAGTATCCTTGTTCAGAAGATTCAAAAGGAAAAGTATATTCATGTTGTTGAGCAAAGCAATATAATCTGATCAAATAAGCCAGCTCCCTTCAACTTCAGGGCATCCACGTCATAGTTACATGGATATGTTCAAAGCAAGTTTTTCTAAAGGTCTGTGAATGCATCTCTGTTTCACTAAAACTTACTCAGAGGTCCTTATCTAAACAGTTTCCACGTATGCATGAGATTTTCTGTGGTAAAGGGGTATGAAGGGGTGAGGATGATGTTCCATGCCTGTGCCTCAAAAATAAGCGTGGACACCATGAGTGCTTCTCATTTCTTAGTTGCTACCAAATGAATATAATTCATGAAGAAGTAGAGCAAGCTCTATCACTCTAGATACTGTCAGTATTGTTTGCACAAAGATAACAACTCTAAAAATCTAAATAATTGCGAGTTTTAATAAATCTTGACACACTTTTGAGTCTTTTGAGTGTTTCAAGGGCGTTTCGAGCCTTTTACTATTAAAAGTTAGGCAACTCAAGTTATTACTCAGTTTTACCCTAAACTGAGAGCTATGTACTCCCCTTCTATTCCCCACCACCATATTTTTCAAGGAATCCTGAATTCTCACATAATTGCCCGATTTCAGGAACCGATGCCTTCAGAAAAACAAGTATGGGACTTGCAGAGCTAGTGATACTGATCCCGCTGTGTTAGCGCAGCCAGTCCTTTGCTAGCAACTGCCTGTGTGAGCACTATGAGAGCAGTGAGATTTGTATGTCTAGATGGAAAAAGAGCTGGTGAATTTCCCAACATAACATCAAAAATAATCAAGAAAGTAAGGCTGAATGAAGATAGATTGTATCCTGACTTTAGCTGGTGCACAATAAGTATGGTCATGATTATGAATCCGTTGGCAACAAGGTTATTCAACCTACTGCTGTTGGTGAGGAGGCTGCAGTAGCGTAACCACCCATCCTCTGCACAGCTACAGTCTGAGAGTTTGGGCAAATCCTTATGAAGATCCTTTGTGATCCTATAATCCCTGCTGCTTTGTTCCTCCCAGAGTCCTACATACAAGTATCAGTATGAATATCACCTGAGAAAAATGAGGAAAAATGGACAAGCTTTTATCCAAGCAAGTGTTTTTTCAGGTTTGAACCTGAAGTAAGAAAGGGCAAATTAAGTACATCTCAGAACAGATCCGATTGTTGGGGGCAGTTGTTTCCAATTTGTGTTTAGGTTGCTGTTTCAAGCTTTACTTTCTGACTCGAAGAAACACTTGTGTAACTGAGAGCTTGTCTGTTTTCCTAAATACATCTAAAAAATCTTGTCTCTGAGTGTTAATCTTGCGTCACCTAAGGTTTGCTGCTACCACTGCCACTGCTGTCTCCAGTGTATCCGTGCCGTGTTTTTAAAGAAATGAGGCAGCATAGCTGAACTCACTGAGATCCTGTAGCACCTCTCCTATCGATTCTCCCTTCTGGTATACTTTAATATAGAGGGAAGGACATGAGAATTTTCTGTAGATAAAACAAATTTGTAAATATCCATGTTAATAAGGAATGCAGCCAAATTTACTCTGTGAAAAATACTTCTAAAATATTTATTCGGAAACCATTTAAAACCATCTACAGAATAAAGTGAGAATGTTTGTTTAAACTGAAAATCAGATTTGGAGTAATGATGCAAGCGGATAAATAATTCAAGTCTGTTCATGAAGTCATGGCTCTTATCTTAATGCAGACTTTGAGACTTATTTGTCCCATAGCTGAGTGAACAGCTCTGTGTCAGTCTTCCTGTAATTGATCTGTCTCTACGTGCAAAACTCCACCTAACAAATCTTTGCACAAGCAGTTCAGAGTAAAAGAAAGCAAAAATAATTTCTGATGAACCAAGTCACTCTTCCGTCTGTCTTTTCTGGGATATACTGCCTGGTAGACGGAGCACTTGATCATACTTGTGAAATATTTGTTAAAATTCAAGCATAAAAGAGTAAAGAAAGTAGTTGTCAGGATCCCGTTGTTTCTTACCTCCTCCACCAAGCAGATGGTATAGCCATGTTAAAAGTTACCTGACTAGTCAACCCCCTTTTCTTCCCCCCCCCCCCCTTTATTTTCTTTTCAGAACTGCATAGGTAATGCATTCAGCACTGCATTTGTGCACTTCTCTTCCCTTGGCTCACAGGAGGAGTGCAGTAGTCTCCTGTAACTATTGGGCGTTCTCTGTTAGTATCTGAGAGTAATACAATAAAACAGAAGTATAATTGCTAGATAGCTACAGATGCTACTTTGAGTGGATTTTGTAGTCAAAAATCAGTAAGTGCTCATATCACAATTGAAATTCTTTGGCATCTTTGTGGATAACCTAAGCAGAATACTCAGTAAATTTGATCAAACTGACTTGATTAATTCAAAAGCCAGCATGTTTAGGTCAAGGAATCTAGAGAGCGCATTACATTGATATGAGTGGCTGTGGGGAAAGAGAAACTAGGAAGTCAATAGAGCTGTCATTGTAGCCTTTTTTTTTTTTTTAATAACGAGCAATAGATTTATATGCAGGTGTATGAATAAATAAGTTTGTCTCCTGCCTCCTCCAGGGAAGATACACATCTCACATGGTACTTCATCGTATTTATCAAAAGAATGCATTGTCTTGCAGCTGTAAAAGATTTCCCCTCCGCCCAAATAGATTGACAAGATAAAATACTGTACAAATTTCTTTGGCTTTTAAATACCAAATAATTTCTTGTGGCTTCATGTTACTCTGTGCACGCACACATGTCGAACTGTGCCTTGGATTTTGGGTTCTAGCTTTTCTATTTCTGTAAAAAAACTATCCTGAAGGCTTTTTTTGGTGCAGCTCCCAACTCCACAGGAAGGAAGACAGCTGTCTGTCTCTCCATGTTAGCTAGTCTTGCAGTCTCTTTCTCTGCTGCTTTAAACTCAATTATTCCATACAGACTAGGAAGGTTGCTGGTTATTGATATATCAATGACTTCCTGGACAGTAGTCATATCAGGAAAGTAAGCCTTAGTGTTGAAGACCTGTTTAGAAACCATCTTTATTTTTTCTATCACTACAGCCTTTCCCTTCATCTCCTTAAGGTTGTAGAGCTGTTCCCTTTGGGAGCACTAGCCACTAGCATGCAGGACACAGCAGTAAAAATTGTTCAGCTCCTCTGAAAGCATTTATTGGAGGCTTATGTGAAAGCAAATATTAATGAAACTGTTAATCATTACATGTGCTCATGCACAGTAAAACTACAAGCTACTGATACGTTTTTCTAATCCTTTAAAGGCAGAAGTATCTGGTTTTAGAATTCAAGTGTGTGCTTCTGACCTGGAAAAGCAAGTCTTAGCCTGCCTAGCAGAAATGAATCTCTTCATAACTGCCATTCCCTCTCACTGAATCAACTTTTTTTTTTTTTTAATTAAGTTACTTTGCCTTAAATGTGGTCCACAGTTATATATAAGATGCTACTTGAAAGACCGAAAAAGACATCAGTGTACCTAGTCAGATTTAATCAAGAAAGCTACCGTTTTTGAATTTGTGACATTCCTTTATGTCACAAGACATCATTTGTTCCCCAGCTAGTGCAGTAAAGGCTGACCCTAATTAGGTAGTGAAGTTCTGGTTGTGTAAGAACTAGCTCAAAATCCTAAGTGTTCTGTGCTATTCTGTACTTAAACAGAATTGATTTATTTAAACCTTCCAACTTTCCTGCTATTTCAAAGACTTGTTAATTTTAACTGAGATTTACAGGTGTGTTCCATATTGCTGTAGTAATATTATGCAGATTTTGGTCAGTGAACTTTAACTGGAAGGTGATTTTATATTGTAATTAATTTTCACGGTCCATTTCAAAGGTTGCATGTTGTTAACTAAAAAGGAGCAATTCTTTGCAGAATGCTACAATTTTGGCATAGGAATACACTGTTTAAGGATTGTTGAGAATTTGTTTTAAGATGGTGCCTAATTAGGCTCCTTGAAACTTTCAGAATTGTTCCCTAAGTTCTTGGGAACTTACTTAAGGTGAGACAGCCTCCCCTTTGTTTTGGCAGAGGCCAGAAGTTTACCCAAAACATGGGGCTGTTTATGTCAGGGATGTGGAAAAAACATAGAATAGTGGGAGACAGTAGAACAGGGCGGACCTGATTTTAAATGAAACCTTTTAACCCTCTTCCTAGGAAAAACTCCCCTGAGGATTTTTGGCAGCTTCCCTTTTATAGCTGGTTCTACGCCTTTAGCAAGAGAGACCAAGCTCTGTAGTGATTATTGATGCTGTTTTGTTCCTGATGATGTCAGGGACTCTGCGTGCGCCAGTAATGTTTCCTACAGTGTGTTGGCGGTCTGGGGAATGCTATTGTAGAGCTGGCAGCTATGATCACTTTAAGTACTGTGTCATCTAAATGGGTTCAAAATCTCTCTTAACGCTGTAATATACTGGTAGTCTGTGTATATACTGCCAGTGTTATGCTGATACTGCTGGGAGAGCTGAACTCACCGTAGCGGTTTTGTGAGGTGTGTTTTTTTAACCTATTAATGCATGTAGGACCACAGACAGGTTGGTATTTAGTTTCAGGTGGAACTGCAGCTCTCCAGCCCCTGAGTAGACTAAATTGTGATTGAAGTTACTCGTCGTAAGCTGAAAATAGAAAATGAAGTTGAATAGAAGTGATATCTGAGCTACGCTTTACAGCCATTGTGGTATCAGAGATTGCGTGCTCTTAGGATAAAAAGGCAATTGGTTATCAAGCAGAGCATCAGGAAATCCCTTTAGGATTAAGAAAATTCACTGAAACGTGGTTACACACGCAGCGACTGTTTGTTTGTACGTCCTGTGGCTGTTTCATTCACTGCAAAGATGCTGAGTGTGTTCATGCTGCTGATACCAGTGCAAGGAATTTGGCAAGCGTGTTTCACTTCTGTTTGTGTATGTCTCTAAGCAACCTCTCATAGTCAGACACCAGATTATTACTTCCCTCCTGTGCACTGAAACACCATGATTCTAGTGGTTAGCATTTTAGTTTAGAAAACAAAGCTTGAGTATTTCTGGATGGTATAAATACTTGTGATAAATGTGTGCCAGAGCAGTTTTATATATATATATATATA